TTGTGTGCGTTTTAGGTGTAGGTATAAATATGTTTATTCCTTTGGATTTTGGAGATCTATCTTTCATTTTTCTACTTTTCCACTTTGGGAAAAGCTCTCTAGTTTTCAGTTTTCTCTCTATTTTTCTTTTGGAGCTCTATGACATCATTTTCCGGCGAGTTTTCTAGCATTTTCGTTTTTGTTCAAGTTCCGAGCTTTTGATTCCGAATCTCATCTAGCGCGCAATAGAAGATTGGATATTTAATTCTAAACCTTAATATTTCGTTGTTTGCCTCGTTTTTACTTGTGATTGTTATCAAAGTAGATTTGAGTGTTTGCTTGATGGTGGATGGAAAGTTTGGATACTTGTTTTTATTGCTTTACTAAGTGATTGTAGGGATTAATTGCTTACTTATCTAGATTAAGAGTTGAGACTCTAATTAGAGCTTAATCACTTAGGGTTAGAAGGTTAGTATTAATTACTTAGGGTTTAGGGTTTGCATATTTCTCTTCGTTGTTTGCATTTTGTTTCGATGGAATAGAGACTCCGATAGTGTTAATTTTTATATTTTTTCGTTTGCTCGTTGCTTTCAACGGTCTTGATTTCTGGCTTAGCTTGGCATTAGCTCATCTCTCAAATCATTGATTAGTATGTGTAGATTTTGCTTTCCGATTTTGTGTGATTTGGACAATTGACTAGCGAACAAAAGCTCCGAATAGCCTTCCTTTGAGAACGACCTGAGGTCGGGTAGCTCGGTTACCATCTACCCCCAAATTAATACTAAACAACAGTGATCGAACCGGACGTAGTCGGCGGCGGGGAGAGACGACCAGGCTGTTGTCTGGCGACAGTGGCGACCTCCATGTCATGGACGACCGAGAACAAATTTTGGGATTGGTTTTTTTTTTTTTTTATGAAATTTGATAATTCACAGTTCCCTAATTGCAATTACATAAATTTCAATATATTACATTTAGTATGTGAGGCACATCTGTAATTTATGAAAAAGTTCATTACATGCACAATAATAATACATAAAATACACATTATTGCACGAGAATATGCACATTAAAAAATTTCGTTATAATTTTATGAAATTGCAGAATTATTCATCATTCAATAAGTTCATTAAGTTACCAAAACCACAATACAATCACGCAAATTAGGGTTGTTTATTGGTCGATCCGGTCGAACTGACTGACCGAAATGTAAAAGCCGAAATAACCGAGTCGAGTTTTAAAAAAAAAAATTGAACCAACCGAACTTTTGTCCCAAAATAAACTAAAACTGAACCGAAATAATTAGTTTTTCCAGTCGAAAAATTGAATTAAATAAAATAATCGAAATAAATTATTATTTGTATTATAAAAATATATTTTGTATATTAATATTTTTTAACATTTTTTTATTGAAAAGACATAATATATATACAAAAAAATATATAAATAAAATAAAGTCGAAACCGCACCGAAATAACTAACATCTTAAAAGTGAAAAGCGATAACCAAATGACATATAATAATGTATTAAAAAATTTGTTTCAGTCCATTTCGGACAGTATAATGTTACGCTGAAGTGCAATCTCATAGGCACAAATATGCATCTTGTCTAATACTATTTTGCATTATGCATCGCAGGTATTTTTTAATGTACATATCCAACGTTATAATGTGTAATGCACTAAACATTATTGTGGAATTATGTTTGGGAGAAAAGACAATATATATATATATATATATATATATATATATATATATATATG